ACAGTAATCATAGTAACCATTAAGTGCCGACAACTATGAACCCAGGACGGCGGTTCGATGATACTTTTCCCTATCATTTAAAAGTCTACAACTTTTTGGCCTCGTTTTTGGTGGTTGGAACCGATAGGAAACGCTAGAAACAGATAGAAAAGTTGCGTGCTGGTTCACTTCCGGAATCGTGGTTCGTTCACCCCAGTGAATTGAGTGTAACGAGGCTTCGTCCAGTGATCAGATGGGGTCATTCAAATATACCCTCTGGTAATTCAACATAGCTATTGACAATTGCCATTTATAGTTGATTTTCCCATTCAAAATTGTGATTTTCCATAGCCATGTTAGTTTACCAGAGGGTAACTGTTAGAAGCGATCAGATGGGGTGAACCACCAATTTCTTCTGGAAATTTCACTGGGAAATGAGTTACTCCTAGCCAGATGTTTCGTCACCTTCGCGCCGCGCTGACGTCAGCCTTTTGGAGCCTTTCCAGCTGGCAATGTTGCAGGAATCTGCAGGAAACCCATGGGTTTCCTTTTTCGGAAAATCGCAGGAAACCCATGGGCCACATCCTTGGACTTTCACGTGCGGAAATCTCAGGGTCGCCAGGGCGGGCGAGAAAAAAAACACAGATCTGCCTGGATCGCTGGGGTCCTGAGGCAGATCTTGTCAAAGCCCGGGGACCGGAAGTGTTTGGCAACGCCTTTCTGGGCACCGGCGCCACGTGGCAAGTTTGACACTTCCAATTGGAGCTGTGCGAAGACAGTTGTTGAACAAAGATATTTAAAGGCCTTTAAATGAATCCTGAAATGTATTTTTCCACCCTTCGAAAAAGAAGATTTGGTGGAAAGTATCCGCCAAAGGAATTCCCAAGGAATTCCACAAATTGACAGTGCCCCAGGTCTGGGTCCAAGCAAGTGAGCCACAAGAATAGATGGTGCCGGGGAGGTTTCAGGTGGCTGGGTGGTCCCCCAATCCATAATTTTTGCAAGGTTTGAAAAGGTCAACGCAGCTAAGTAGGGTAGGATCAATATTCCATGAATATCCCTTTGACATTCCATGAATCATCCATCAATATTTCATTCAAACCTCCATTGATAGCCGATTTCCCTATGATTTTCCATTTAAATCCCATTGCAATCCCATTACCCTCTGGTAAACTATCGTAACTATAGAAAATCACCATTTTCAATAGGTAAATCCACTATAAATGGCAATTTTCCATAGCATTTTGACATAACCAGAGGGTACAATCCCAATTTATCCTATGATTTTCCCATTAAATCCCATTACAATCCCATTAGAATCCGTTGCAATCCCAATTTTTCCTATATTTTCCTATGACATTCCCACGCTTTTTGGAGGATCTTCCCATTGAATCCACAGGTGTTGCTTCCTCCGAAGCGACCCTTGCCCAAGCCTAAGCTCAGTGAGCCGGATGCGGTGCTGCTGGTGCCTCGGCCTCGCTGGGAGAAAGGCCATGGTTGGGTTCTAAGGTGGGGTTCACCACTAGGAAAAAAGGTGATTTACTGGCAAAAAAAGGTGATTTTACTAGGACAAATTGTGATTTTACTGGCAATTCTTGCGTTTTTAATGGGAATTTTGAACATTTTACTGTGACATTTTGTAAAGTGTACAGGGAGATTTTGTAGAATTTACCGGGAAATGCCCGGTTTTGCCCGCAAGGTCATTTTGCTGGTTCATGTTGGGAAGTTAGAGGGACATTTATATAATAGCTTCATAGGCTCTCGGTCATCCTTGGATGGGTACTTGATAAAACACTTTAATCTTTTGCCAAACAGGGTGATACCCTCTGGTAAACTAACATAGCTATTGAAAATTGCCATTTATAGTGGATTTTCCCATTAAAAATTGTGATTTTCCATAGCTATGTTAGTTTACCAGAGGGTATTACCTAACCAGCTTAGAAATCAAAACGCAAGGTATCTTAGACCAATAAAAAAGATCGGCCAAAGGCAATTTGGGTCTGTTTAGACGGCAAATGATTTTTGTCAGTAGCGAACATTATGCTACTGAAATCCCAAGGTTTATCATCATTTTTCC